GGGTGGGGGTGGAGGGAGTGGTCGGAGGGGGAAGGGATGAATCGAAGGTGGTTTGACCAGAGGGTAATGATTGGAGGGGTTTGCAAATGCAAAGTGTACACGCGGATAGATGGGTTTGTTGTTGTCTGGGGTCTTATCATGATAGGGCATTTTTGAACGGTGGCACGGTTGAGCGTTCCGGCCTTTCTAAGGGACTGCGAGCTGGCCGGGGAGCCCTGAAGACCAGGCGCCGCGAGGGGCGGCGAGCTGCATGGGATGCGTGCCGCGGCGCCACGGGAGGCAGCCAGCGCGGCGCGGCACGCAGCTGAGCCTTCATGAACGACGCGGGGGCACACGAGGGGGAGAGGTGTGGGTGTCGCCCGCCCTCTCACCCGTAGTAATCCAGGGTGGGCATGATGGCGACGTCGGTGTCGGTCACCACGTACTGGTACCTGAGGACGTGCGGGGTGACGCGCGTGACACGGGACAGGGTCAGCCACCGGGATCACGAGTCATCTGCAAAATGTGGAGGCCTCATGCAGCCGCATGAGTGAGCAGCACCGTGCGGTCCACCCCCCGATATCGCACCGCCTGGTCACCCACGTCGGCTGCAGGAGTCACCCTTAGTAACCCCTCCGTAACCACCTGTGGTCGGTGACGTCCTCGGGGTCGAAGGTCGGCCCCAGGTCCAGGCCCTCCGCCACATAGCCCTGGGGGTTGGTCAAGGAAAGGGGGGCCAATCAGGGGCCCGGGGGCAGGAGGAGCGGGACGGAGCCTTTCTAAAAGACAACTCAACAGGGCGACTCGAAAAAGCAATGCATTCTCACAATGACTGCAGCGGCAGCGGCAAAGATCTCACCTCGTAGCCGTATGCGGCCAGTGTCTCGTTGTCCTCGTTGCGGTAGGCCTCCGCGTAGGCGCGCTTCGCGCGTGACAGCTTGCGCAGCCACGCCGCGTACTCCTGCGTGCCGCGATGACGTCAGAGTGACGTCAGCAAGGGCGTCCGGCCGAGCCGCGGTCGCACGTGCCCTTGCTCATGGCTGACCCCCGGCGCGGACGAGCAACTCAATCTGCTTGCGCCGCCGCGCGTGCCAGCTCGGTGCAGGGAGAATGCAGCCCAAAAAACTGCTGGTGCAAAGCTTAAGCGGGTGGGTGCCGCAGGCACCTCCGAGCATTCCCCGCGCCGCACCTTCTGCGCGGTGGGGTCGCCCTGCCTGGCCCAGCCCCTCATGAGCTGGTAGTACTGCGTGTTGAACTCCTCCGCCTCCTCGTCATCAGTCTCCTGCCAATCGGAACAAAAAGATCGATTGCAAATTTGCGGGATCCGACGGATCGCGGAAGGGACGCTGCAGGGACGCACTAGCAGCACACGCCTGGGCCGTGAACGGCGCTGCCGTTAGCGCACCCCAAAGACGTCGCCCGCTTGTCGCGATGTCGCCCCCCAGAAGCTGCCAGAGGTTATGATGGAACACGCACCCTGACCTTGCGACAAAACACTAATAACAACCCTGGAAACACCTGACATCCCATGCAACCGCCCCACGACCACCTCATAACCACCCCATGAGCACTTCACAGCCACCTCGCAACCACCCCCCCCCCTGGGGCCTACCCTGTCGAAGGGGTCCTCCACTGTGGCGTACGTGTCGGGCTTGAGCACGCCCTCCACCATCTGCTCGACAAAGTAGCTCGTGGGGGGCATGCGGGAGCGCCGCATGCGGGCCATCATCTGAGGGGGAGGGGGAGGGGCAGGGGGGCGTTGGCAGGGGATGGTTTGTCCGGCGTTTTGGGGGGTCAGCGGCGGGTCCGCGGCGCCGAAAAGAGCCTCTTGAGTCGCGTGTGAAGAGGGCGTGCAAATGGAAGGCGCTCGTGCAGTCAAACAGGCCGCGGCGGTGGTGAGGGTCCAATAAGGCAGGTGCATCTGCCGTTCGGCGGCGGAGGCGTCGAGAGGGGCCGCGAGTCCGCCCTGCCCGCCGCCGCCCCGCGCGCCTGCTGCTGCTGCGTCTGCGCCGCCGCCGCCGGCTTGGCCTTCGGCTTGGAGGTCGCGGCCGCGGCGGCGTCCTGGGCTCGGTGGTACGCCGCGTAGCCCAGCAGCTGCATGAGCAGCTGCTCGCGCCAGGGGGTGGGCGCCAGCGCGGCGGCCATGGCGCCGGGGACGTCCCAGACCACGGGCTGGCCCGCGGCGTTCCTGGGGGGCCGGTTGTGTTTGGGAAGGGTGTCGCGGCGAGGCGGAGGAACATTGATGGTGAGGGCATCGGCATCGCAGACCGAGGGTGCTATAATGGCAGGGGTCGCCGGCAGCGGGCGGGCCACAGCAAGCCGAGCGGGTGGCAGTATCCAGCCGACCGGAAGGCCCTGTGCCCGACAAGGCGTGACCCATCGCATCCCAGGTTGGCTGGGACCCAGGCGGCGTTGAGGGGTGCAAAGCAAACAGGCACTTGCCGAGACCCTAGGACTCTGAACCCTGACACCCAAGACCCGCGAGCAAAGGCATGGGTGGGGGGGGCGCCCACCTGGGTCCCCCTGGGTGGCAGTCCGCCAGGAACGAGGGCGTCTTGAGCTGCATCTCCCCAGACACCTGGGAATGGGGGGAGGGGGGGACGGGCGAGCGGGCGCGTGCGTCGTCTGCAAGACCCCAGGACTGTGTGTGTGTGTGTGTGTGTGTGTGTGTGTGTGTG